TAGACAAGGTCTAATCCTGTTTGATGCCCAGGTGACAACTCAGCTTCAAGGAAGAGCAGATAAAGACAAGTCCCAGTGTTAGATGGCCTGTCAAAGGAGGGAGCTTCAAACCAAACTCTCCTTCCCACAACAGATACGCTCCTTCATGACCTTCAAAGATTAAAAAGATCAATCAGGATACTTATCTAGGACCGCAAACTTGAAGAATAAGTCTGAGGAGATGCATCAATGAGTCAAAAGAAAGCTAGAAACAAACACATCGGGGTGTAAGCAGGGTCTGTAGGATCCTACACTTAGTAGGACTTGCTTAGAATTATCTGTATCCACACAGCTCGTGACCTGATGTAAAGGTTTCTGGTATTGCCTTCTACTTCCTAAAATGAACCTGACTTGACTAATACAGGATGTAATCATGCTAGCAATACAGGATTGCAGAATGAGCTTTTACACACCACTGTACACACATATACATGGAATTAGAAGTACAGTTTGGTCTACCCATGACCACGAACACACTTTAAAACAGAAGCAGGACTTTGCTCATTTGTCTTTTTCTTTTAGAAAAGATGGATTTTAGGGAAAGGTGACCCTTTCTCTTATTTTTGTTAAATTAGTTAATGAATTGAGCTTCTTTTTTCTGCTTTGAGGCAGAGTGTGTCAGGCTGGCATTGTTCTTTGTATGTAGTCAAAGGTCATCTTGAATTCCAGATCCTCCTGTTTCCACCTCCCAAGTGGAGATCACCCCTACCATTAGGTATATTTCTTTATTTCAGTATTTACTTTTTAATTTATATCCACATGCTTTGGATATCTTTAATTCTTGTTCAAAGATGTAAGAGGAGAGACTTAGACTCAGTATTAAATATGCCTGGGTCAAGATGAAGTTCAAGTAAATATAACTTCAGTTAAATTTGAGGGTTTTTTCTACTTTATCATGTTTAAATAAGAATAACTGAGACAGGCTATTATCTAGCACTTATTCAGGGAGAAAAAGGGAAGAAAAATGTTGCATGTGTTTTACAGGAAGCCAGCGCTCTGTCTGCACGAAGTTCCCCTCTTGCTGGTATCTAAATGGCTCTGTACATAATGAGTGGTTTTTCATATAATAATAATTGTGCATGTGTGCGTGTTTATCTTGGTGTGCATGTGAGTGTGTGTGTGCGTTGATATGTGTATGTGTGTGTGCATGTGTGTGTTTGGGCACACATACTATGTATGGTGTATGTGGAAGTCAGATCCATGCAGATCCCAGATACTGAACTTAGATTGCCTGTCTTGGCAACAAAAGCCTTTACCAACTGACTCGTCTCACTGGCCATAATTTACATTGTTGAAAACAAAATGCCTGGATTTATGTGAAAAAATACTGCCATGCTTGTCTTACCTATATTACAGTTATCCCCACCATGTGTGTGTGTGTGTGTGTATCTAAGGGGCAATAACAATATATTACAGTTTATCTTTCTTTTAGAACTTTTTATCACATATATAATAATACTGTAACATAATTATTTCAAAATTTGACTAATCTTCAATGTTAGAACTGGAATTGGGGCTCACACAGCCAGAGGAAAAGAAATCACAGTAGACTACTAACAGACACTGGATGGTTTTGCAAGTTCTACCTTGACTGAACTAATTCCTTATGACTCTGTTAGGTGAATATTCTTTCTATTTTACAAATGAAATCCAGATTTCAGAAAATTCAAGCAAATTTCCTATGTTCTAAGCTATACAATTAAAATTGCTTTGTTTTTCACTGATAGAAGGGTTTTACTGGATAGTACAGGCAGGCTTTGAATTTGCTATGTACCCAATGCTGGCTTTAAGCCAGTTATCTCCTCCTGAGTGCTAAGATTACAGCCATAAGCCACCATGTCCAGTTAGGAAGCTCGGTTCAGACTTTCTGTATTGCATTTCAAAGTATAAGCCCATTCTACTACAGATTCTGTTAGTAACCATATTGCATGCTATTAATTTGAAAGTTGCAGGGAACAACTTTTAAATTAACTTTTAAGAAGCCTCAAGTGGATGTATAAGGAAGGAGTGGCTGAAGTCCTGGGTGAATGTGTAGTGTTCATCTGGGTATTCCAGTAGTTCAAACCCACTGGAGTGGCAAAGCTTGTTTGTCTTGGGTGAGGCTCAGAAGGATGGGAAAACCTTCTCCTGGTCAGAATGTCAGTGTTGACAGTGTATGGAGAAGCTTATCGACCACAGCTTCCTCCTCTTCCTTTGGAATTTCACATCACCCTGAGAGTGGCTCTCTAAAAAGATCTCTTACCAAGCTCAGCTTAATTTGCTTCTATGTTCAACTGTATACCATAAGCCCTTATCCTCAATTAAATGCATAAACTGAATGTGCTGAGTTTCTTGGTTACTTTTGTGTAGCTGGTACTCCTCAACAGAGTGAGCACAGCCTATCTGGTCCCAACTTTTATGCACATGTGTCTGTCTTATCCATTCCCTCCTGGTCCCAGTCAGGCCAATCCCTGAAGCCATGCAGGGTATGGCAAAAAGTAATGGCAGATGCTCGTGTATTGTCATGGATACTTACTTCCTAAAATGGAACAGAGCACAGGCTTACCCTAAGCCACTTCCTGTATTTGCTACTAGTGGTAACTTCCTGTGAATTTGCAGTGGGCCTTGGTAGTAAGAGAGCAAATTCATTATCTGGCACTCATGCTTCCCAAGGGGGTGTCTTTCTTTAGATTTGAAGGCATTTTGCTTTTTTTTTTTTCTGTAATAGGAAGTATTAAGCCTATCACTTAGCTTCTTAATAAGGCCTAAGAGCCCAGCCCCAGGCTACACTGGGAGAGGGGCTAATGAGACACAGTTCAAGGACATGGAATGAGTCACACTTTGTTCTGTTTTTCTTAACCCCAACCCCTCCACACATCGCCATCGGACTCAGGTGGAAGAAACTAACATTTCATGAATGTCAAAACAACTAACTGCACATGTACACAAACTAGAAGACACAGATAGATGTGCCCGAGTGTCACCAAAGGAGCAGACTAAAATCAGACTCTTTAGGACTTTTTATCTGACCCGTCTTTAATCCTTAGAACTTACATGTTAAGTTTTATACTGGGTCATAGCTACGTCTTTCTATAACCTACTTCCATTTTTGGCTTGCGTGGAAGTGCAGTCACATGAAAGGTAACATCCTCATTTATGAATGTTCAGATCAAAGGGAAAGGGAATTGCAGTTAGACAGTTTGCCTTCTTCAATTAGAAGAGCCTCCCATATGCTAATCTGGGTAATCAGTTTTTCAGAGAAAAGAGAACTGACAGGAGCCGAGATTCTTTGACTTGTAACTCCATGACTCCTGAACATGTGGGATGCAAGAGACACGCATTTGAGTCACATCCATGATCAGAACATGTCCAGTATATAATAAAAACAGATAAGAAAGAAACCTTAGGCTTTATTAAAAGCTTCCCAACATATTTTATGGATGTTCCTGGATCAAACCCCAGATGTCATGGATGGAGATGGTCTCTTTGCATTGCACATGTGTGGGACAGCTGGCCTCAGTGAATAGTTGTTAAAACATTATTCCAGAATATTTATTTTCTTTCAAATGCTAATATTTGCAAACTCCAGAGCTTTGTGTGCCCTCTTAATATAGGGTAAAACCACAACATAAACACGAAACAGCCTGTTTTCATTGTAACTGTGTCTTGTTTTGTGTTTTCCTAAAAATACTTATTTTTAGACCCTTCCCTGATACACAGGGGTTGACACTTTGTAGCCTGTCAGCCACAACTGCTGAATGAATAAAACAACAAACAATGAGATTTTATTATTAGAAATCATTATGGAAATGTGATACAACCATCTCAGAATTTCTGTATTTCATAGAGCAAAGAACGGAGAGAGTGTGTTTAGACTTCCCTCCAAATATCCATCTGGCGCTCTGGTTCTTCTTTGCCAGTTTTATTAAGTGCAAACCAGGAACTTTATAACCAGTCCCCAAGACACAGAAAGACAAATTTTGAGTAATGACCTCTTGTTAGAGGCCCAGTAGTTTCTGTTTAATAGATGATTGTTTAAAGAATTACAAATCTGAAATATCACATTATCATTATGATCTCTAGTAACTGCTCATTTTGGTTTCTCTGTCATGGTGGTTTGTTTAAAAGAGGACACACAATATTGACACCAGCTGACCGTGGGCATGATAAGATAGCTGGATTTCCAAGAGCTTTGGCAGAAGGCAGGGCGGGTGGAGATGGCTACTCTGAGCTCATGCCTTCTGCCACAACCCGCTGCCCTCCTCCAGGACAGCAGAGCCACACATCCGCCCATGTGCTGTGCTGTCCTTTTCTCCTAGCAACCATATTATGCTGAAGTGCAATTGCTGGGGTTGCCAGGATATTATTCTATTCTTGTCCACCATAACCAGCCCCCAAACCAGAGAGGACAAAGCAGTTGAGAGGGAAAAACACAGGTAGTAGGATCAGCATGGCAAAGTGCCTTTTAATTAGGAGGACACTAATTCATCAAATCATCTTGTTGCTGATACTTTCAAACTTTATCTTTTCTTTAAAACCAGACAGGCCAGCAGGAAAAAAAAATCTACAAAGATCGCAGCTATTAAATGCTGGAAGACAGATTCACCGCTTTATCCATTAGAAGCCACTTTTTCCCAATAGAAAAATATAGACAAATGTCTTGCTACTGTCAGTCTGACCCAAAAGATTCTGGCGTGTAATTACTATCTTGCTCCACAAGTAAATCTTGAAAGTAGATACCACATACTATAGGGCCAAAGAGAGTACTGATGATCAAATGCATCCTTTTGAAATGGCAGAGTGTGTTTAAAAATGTGTAGCTTAAAAAGGGCCAGCACTTAGGAGGCAGAGGCAGGTAGATCTCTGTGAGTTGAAGCCAGCCAGATCTATAGAGGGAGTTCTAAGACAGCCAGGGCCGACACAGAGAAACCCTGTCTCAAAACAAAACACACACAAAAAAGTGTTGAGTCATGGTTTCTTACCTTATTGGATATCATAATGGATTCTGTGTTTAAATAGTCGATAGAAAAGGAGCCCGTCTTAGACTCATACAGCCAAACAGAAGTTGAGGCAGATCTCAGATCCTTTATCTGTTTTACACGGACATTCAACTCCATTACGTCACGTTGTCTAGTTCCTTACACGGGTGATAGATAAAAACAGCCAACCGGCATGCTTACAGAGTCTCTGAGCTGTTGATATGTTTGTCAGACTCTGAGCCACTCAGTAGGTGTCTTCGTCCTGCTTTACAAATGGGGAAAACTGCTGCAAAAGTGACTAGGTGACTCACCAAGGTCATGTAACTATAAAGCTGCAGAGCTAGGAACGAAGCCCAAGATAAATGACACTTAATGCAGAACGTGTTTGCCTAAGGTCAGACATTAACCATCAGATCTGATATTGGATCATGGACATAGAGATAATTCAAAGAGCATGATCTTATTTGGATATATAAGAAGGCCCGGTACACATGTCTAAGGGATTCATTGATTCATTCAATAAATATTTATTGAGGGACTGTTTGGGTACCTGGGATACAGTAGTGAGCAAGAGAAAAACAAAAGCACATAGAACGGGCTGGTGAGATGGCTCAGTGGTTAAGAGCACTGACTGCTCTTCCAGAGGTCATGAGTTCAAATCCCAGCAACCACATGGTGGCTCACAACCATCTGTAATGATATCTGATGCCCTCTTGTGGGGTGTCTGAAGACAACTACAGTGTACTTACATATAATAAATAAATAAAAATTAAAAAAAAAAAAAGCACATAGAACTTCTAAGCTGAGTGGACACAAAACACATGTGTGTCTGGGGTGTGGAGTAGAGATCATAAATAGTAGAACACGGCCCTAAAAATGTGATGTTCGAGCAAGGCAAAGGGAGATAAAGTGAGCCATATGGATATCTATGGGAAGTCCACTCTGGGTATGGGGAAGAGGAGGAGCGGAGGATGTCTGGTCCTATTTGAGAACACAGGAGAGATGGTGTGGAGGGGCAGATAAGAGTGCTGGAGATGGTAAGCACTTAAGGTCAAGAGTGAGGGAACTGAAGACTGACCACGCAAGGGCTTTGGAAACCAAGGTTAGGATTAGAATTTACTCAGGGTTGAATGGTAATCCTAAACCAAGTGCCCTCATAAAATTTAGTCACCATAGTATCAATGAATCTGTCCGAGGATCCTACCTAGGTCTACGTCACCAGTCCAATTTGACCTTTGGTATCTGGATGATAGATGTCATTTCTTCTCTTTTGTTGTTGTGTTTTGAAGTAGGATCTGCTTCAGCAAGTGACTGGAACTTTCTCAGCAAGATGGCTAGCTAATAAAAATGTTCAACATGGTAAGGAAAGTCTACCCCCTCCTCATCAAAAAAGAGTTAGTCCCCTTTCTTAGTGAGCTTATAACTTAGCTACGAAATCATTCATTTCTCTGCCAAGTGTCCATTTGTGGAGGAGTACACACAGGGTTATGGTTGTGCCAAGTTGCATCCAGAGACAGTGTTACTGAACATGGTATTTGAGGGGAACTTTAGTGGTAATATGTATCATGAGGTTGTCCAAGTGGGTACATATAGGTAAAATATTCTGTACATGGAGATGGAGAGAGGACTCAACAATTAAAAACCTCACTCTTATTAGACCTCTTAGAGAGGACCTACGTTCCGTTCTTAGCACTCACATGGTGGACCACAAGCACCCAGAATTTCAGTTCCAGACATATGACATGCTTTTCTGACCTCCGAGTACAGTAGGCATGGGCACATGCACGTAACATGCATATGGGCACTCACATGCACATATAAAATAGAAATAAATCTTCCTTTTTAGATAGATGCACTAGCCACAGTGTCACAGCCTACAATCTACTTGAGAGACAGAGGCAAGAGGACCATATGGGTGACAGAGTGAGACGCTGTATAGAATTTTTTTTTTTACCTTAAAAGAAAAGATTAAGATTTAGAAAAGCACAGAAAAGCAGGTAGAGCTTTCTAGGCTGAAGGCAATGGGAGTGACGGCACATGGAAGAGAAAGGCTAGAGAACAGTTTCTGGGGGTCAGCACTCAGACTTGTGAGAGGAGAGCGAAGGTAGAAGCAAAGTGATGCAGAGGCTGATCTCTAAATGGTACGGGCTCTGGTCTCTTCATTTGCAAGTTTTCTTTCTCAGAATAACAGTATATTATCCATCCATCTTCCTTTCTCTCTCTCTCTCTCTCTCTCTCTCTCTCTCTCTCTCTTTCTTTCTTTCTTTCTTTCTTTCTCTCTTTCTTAGATTTATTTATTTTATGTATGTGAGTACACTGTCACTCTCTTCAGACACACCAGAAGAGGGCATTGGATTCCATTACAGATCATTGTGAGCCACCATGTGGTTGCTGGGAAATGAACTCAGGACCTCTGGAAGAACAGTCAGTGCTCTTAACCTCTGAGCCATCTCTCCAGGCCCCAGTGCATCATTTTCCAATCCCTCGGTGTCTACTATCTTATGGTATTGGGAAGTTTCCTTTCTCAGAAAGACCATGCAGTATTGTGCAGTCCCTTCATGCCTACCCACTATCATCCCTTCCTGGATGCTGAGCGAAAGCCCTCAGATCTCCCCACTCACAGAAAATGGCTCTAATAGACACATTACTTCATGAATTGCTGTGTTTCCCACCTGGAGCTCTAGCTACTATGAGAATTCTGATCTCTAGATCTCAGGATAAAATATTGTTGGAGCTTAGCCCTCATCTCCTGATGCTGTGTGTTCTCTAGCTGATTGCTGGGATGGTACATAAAGACCTGAAAGCAAGTTTATCAGCTTTTATCTGATTTCCATTTCATCTATCTTTAATTTTTTGTACAGGCTAAGCTCAGTAAGTTCTATAATGAGTGTTTTATACTTTAAAAAATAATTCTGTGTACAGCATAATAAGTCTACATGTTTGCAGAACTAATGGAACTCAATGGATTTAAAAGAGGGATGTAGGTATTAGGAGGGTATAGAATGGGGGTAAATTTAGGAGGAGATGGGATGACAGTAAATCTAAACAAAATGCAGTATATGAAATTATGAAAGAGTTAATAAAACATTTTAAACATCTATAGTATTTTTTGTTATGATGGGTATTACGATCATCAAGTTTAAATTCTATTTAATTTGCATGTGACATTTTGGAAAAATCAGCCTTTAGATGTCTTGACTATGAGAAAACTGTCATGCGCTATGTTTAGCCTTAAACAATTGCCAGGCAGTAGTGGAGTGCTTTAGGTATCTTCTCCATACCAATCATTTCCAAACAAACAGAAGGCCAGCTAGAGTACTAGCTGTTGCTACACATTTTCCTGGAATACATTCAGATCCATTCCCTCTATTTCCTTGGCAACAATCAAACCCCTAGCAACTCTCTATAACCCATCATGTCTTACTTCAATGTTACTTTTGAAAATAAAGCAATTCTGTTTTTCTGTATATGCCCTTGTGAACCAGAAGGGAAGAAAAATCAAGTAAAAGTGAGTTCAGATGGCTCTGAATTTATTATTATTATTATTATTATTATTATTATTATTATTATCATTAATTATTATTATCACTATAATTATTATTTTGGTAATCCTTTCCTGGTGGCTGAAAACTTGAGTGCATGTCAGTTACAAAGGATTTTTGAAAACTACACGCAACCATTCTCCAAAGGAGAAAATACCATGTTCCTGATGCGTTAAACTGCCTCTTCTCTCATGTTGTCCCACCATGGCTCTGTGCATTACACAGCCTGCAAGTTTAGACAATAGAAAATTGAATCCCTATCCTCTTGTCTAGATAGATATGTGTTACAAGAATATATTCCTTTTGTGTTTTTTCTCCCCTTCCTTCTGTTGAATATGATTTTCATTTTCCGATGCATTACAGAATTTCTGCTTTAGTTAATTATGCTGTAAATTTTCTGGAATGCTCCTCCAAGCCTAGAGCACTTGGAACCAGGTTTGGCAGGCAAATGCAAGAACAGTTAGGCGACGGAGATAAAACATGAAGCTCATTCCTGGGAAATTCCTGGAGGGAACTCAGATTTCTAGTCTGAGAATAAATGAGCTCACTTCTCCCCCTTGTGCCCAGAATGTCATGATACCAGACATACATTTTCTTGAATGGGAACATGGGGGATGGGGGTGAGGAGGGGAGGAGTGGGAGAATGAGAGAAAGAGACAGCAGGGGGAGAGTGAGAGAGGAGAAGGGAGGGGGAGAAGGAGAAGGGGGAAAGAGAGAAGGGAGAGAGAGAGAGAAGGAGAGGGAGAGGGAGAGGGAGGAGGGAGAGGGAGAGGAAAAGGGAGAGGGAGAGGAAGAGGGAGGAGGGAGAGGGAGAGGGAGGAGGGAGAGGGAGAGGAAAAGGGAGGAGGGAGAGGGAGAGGAAGAGAGAGGAGGGAGAGGGAGAGGGAGGAGGGAGAGAGGAGGGAGAGAGAGGAGGGAGAGAGAGAGGGAGAGGGAGAGGGAGAGAGAGGAAGGAGAGGGAGGACAGAGAGGGAGAGAGAGGATGGAGAGGGAGAGGATGGAGAGGGAGAGGGAGAGAGAGGACAGAGAGGGAGAGGGAGAGCGAGGACAGAGAGGGAGAGGGAGAGAGAGGACAGAGGGGGAGAGGGAAAGAGAGGACAGAGAGGGAGAGGGAGAGAGAGGATGGAGAGGGAGAGGGAGAGGGAGAGGGAGAGGGAGAGGGAGAGGGAGAGGGAGAAGGGAGAGATCAAGTTTTTCCATTGGGTTGAAATGAATTGATACCCAGTTATGTTAGTCTTTAGGTCCCTGCCATCAAATCCCAGCCCGATGTATCCACTGTTCTTTTCCTTCTTCTTCCTTTGATCCATTCACTTGTATGCAGTATCAGTTCAATATCCCTGTTTTACAAAGGACTGCTGATTCTGATCTCAAAACAGACTCAACCTGGAAGTATGGAAGCTTGATTAGAGCCAAGTATTTTTGGTTTGTTCTTTAACTAATTAGAATCTTCCAGAACAAGGTCTGGCATATAGTTCAATGAGAATCCGTTAC